TCATAACGCTGACAAATAACCGAGAGCACTGTTCTGCTCTAAAGTCTGTGTGCACTGAGGGTGTGTTTATTGTCCAGCGTCTCACTGGAATAATACAAGTATTTGGACAAGATACATCAGAGGAAACCAGGTCTTTGTCTGGTCCCACTCGAGTTCCTCTTTCATCCATTCATCTCTTCCCACAAACATTTTATTGAAACAAGATCAGCGTTAATAGTTTCCATGCTGAATCACCCAACTGGGACCAGGAAGATGAATTTAGTAAATTGTGGATAAGTGGTGGTTGATAGAACAGGCCGCGTGCTTGTTCACTTTTTTTTTCTACATCAGAACTTTGTGCTGCATAAATACGTACTTTCACTCCCAGTTGTTGAAAAGCTGACTTTTCTGTTCTCTTTTTCTGAGTGTAGTAGTGATTCTTTAAATTTGTCAAACTAAAACAAACTAAAAACGGCACAGACTATATATTTAGTATGGAGACAAAACATTAAAGTTTATTTATTTGTTGACATAAATCCAACTATTATTTTAGCTTGAATAAAAAAGGAGCAGAAATGACATTCACTTTGTACATCTGTACGTTTTCCTTCAACGTCCCCACAGCATGCTGCTTCCACCACCATGCTTCACTGTTGAGATAGGCAGATTAGTGACACAGTGGAGGGAGGTTGGACCCAAATTTGCAAACTGGCACAAGGAGCTTGAAGAAATAGTCCAAAACATGCGTGTTAGGCTGCCTTCAGCCCCAGGACTCGCTTATTACAAAAGAGATCTGCGATCTCAATGGGATTTTAACAACCAACATTTATTTTAAATAAAGCCAGTGCTTAATTGACATAAATAAACATCACAAGGCAAAAAATACAAAAAACACAGATGCTGACAGTTAGACTCTACCTAAAGCTTAGAATCGATGCCAAACAGTTCCATTGCGGAGTATCTTTTCGGTGCTTAATGAGATTGGCTCTTTCAAATTAAAATGTCTTTAGTTTTCTTTTGAAAAGCACTGAGGCTGTTGCTGTCCACACTTAAACTGGGCCTGGAAACTAAAGGCTCTGCCTCCCATTTTAGTTCTAAAAAGTCTGGCATCCCATTAAAGACCAGCAAGCTGACAGCAAAGGGTTTTTTTGGTTGGTTATAGGAAACAATTGTTTGCTTTAGGTTGGACCAGGGGTCTGCAACCTGCGGCTCTAGAGCCACATGCGGCTCTTTGGTTCCTCCACAGCGGCTCTTTCAAGCTTTGACTACAACTAACATAAAACTCAAGTTTATTGGTTGTTAAACCAAAAAAGTACCATTTTAGTTGTTTTCATGTCATTTCTTTGGCAAATACTCACTTTAGCTTTTTGCTTTATTTCTATACTTAATTATTTTTTCCACAATTAAAAAAATACATAAATCTGCATAACTCATAGTTTGTTTTGTTTTATAATTTGAAAAATAAAATAAAAAGATTCCCCACCTCTTTACAATAATTTGGTCTTTTCATTTGTCTTAAATTGTAATAATATCAATAAATGTTAAAACTCATTAGATGTTTGTAGCTTTATAATGTCGCCCCTACACTTGCGACCTGTCCAGGGTGTACCCCGCCCCTCGCACAGTGATCGCTGGACATGGGCACCGGCGACCCCCGTGACCCAAGATGGAAGAAGCGGGTAAAAGATAACGGATGGATGGATGAATGGATGTCACCCCTACTGGCCACAAAAGTCTCCTCCAACAAACTTAAAGTGGCCCATGGGCCACCAGTTGATAACGGTTGTAGCAGGTTGTTGCGGCTCTGGACACATTGAATTTAGTGCATGAAGGTGTAAAAAAAATGTCTCTTTTGATCGTAAAACTTTCAGACCCCCGGGTTAGACAGAGCTAGGCCTTTTGAAGGATTTTGAGTTCACAGAAAGTCTGCGCTGAGCTCAACAGGAGAAATGTGGTTTCTCCTTTGGCCGCCGCATTCTGAACTAGTTACATGGATTTTAATGAAGTTTTTATCCTCAGTCTGCTCAGAGTGCTTAAAGGTTTCATGGAGAGGCTTCCATCAAACCACTCTGCCATGAAGCCGAGATCAGTGGAGGTCTTCAGGTGTTCTTCCAGACCAAAGTCCCATCTCAATACAGGATCTCTGACTGGCAGGTCCTCAGTCACCTCTTGCTCTCTTCTATGCTCAGTGTGGGCAGATGACCAGCTCTAGAAGAGTCCTGGACCAGTGGTACAACTTCCATCTTAGAACCGCAGAGGCCACTCAGCTTTTCACTCTTCAGTGCAGCAGATTGTTTTTGCACCAGTCCTGCCTGTGAGCTCTGCAGGCAGTTTGTCTGATTCCTCTCCTTTCATGGTTTGATTCTTCTGCCTTCTAAAAAAACGCTGTGTTTCCAAACCATGTCTGTTTTTTTTTTTGTTCCACAGGTGGATTCAAGTCAAGGAACAGAAAGTTCTCAGCAGCATTTCAAGTGTTGTTGCGAAGGATCTGAATACTTTCACTTTTTGTGTACCAAACATGGACTGATGAGCCCAAATTTAATTTCACAATAAAACTGAAATAATGAAGGGCGCTGAATACGCTCTGAAGCTAAAAAAGAATAAATAAAAATGGAAATTTTAGACCGCTTTTTCTGGTTTGAAATTGTTTAATTATTTTTAAGCGCCCAGAGCTTCCTTCAGCTTGTTTCTTCATCTCATGTGAGTGACTCATTTGAAAACCCTCCAGCAGCAGATGCTCATTTTTGTTTGTTTGTTTGCAGGATTTTTAATGTGCAGAGGCTGCTAATGTGGTGAGGACTGAAATGCAATTCTGGTTCAGTTTCAAAGTGTTGACGCCTCGTTGGTGAACCTATTTACTGACATGAGTTACTGGATGAAAAGGGAGGGAGAAGCTTCTCCTGTCAGTGGATTGTATCAAGTACAAGAAAGAGACAGGATGTTAAAACCATCCTACCTTCAAAATAAAAGAACTGTGTCTCACCAGTGGCACTGATTTGCAATCATGCAAAAAGTTTCAGAATGTTTCTTAAAGTATTAAAAATGCAAATATATATATATATATATATATAACATTTTAAAGAATTTTAACTGTTTGTGATGATTGTGATCAGATTAAAACTCTTTTCTTTTGTAACTTGTATATGAAGTATTTTAACCTGCATTACCTAACTTATTAAATATTATAAAGGATTATTTCTGTTTGTTTTCTTTATTGTATGAATATAATTTATATCAGATAAAATATTTCTGGATTTAACTCACATTATTTTAGCACACTATTTTAAATCACTGCGATGGAGAAAATTAGGCGAGTATTTCTTTCAGTAATTTAATTTTTGTTCATTTCAAACAAAAACAAAACTGTGTGAATCAAAATCCTTTTCCACATGTTATATTTCAACAAAACTATCAGCTAAATCAGGAATATTGTGTTTTTAGCATTTATTACTGTATTTAACTTTATTTAAAAAATACCCAATAGAAACATTTGAGATCTCATCCATTTCCTTCTCTAAAATCTGTTTCATCATACTTGTTGTGATTTTGTCTTGTGCCAAGTTTTTTTTTTCTGCACTTGTTTTGCTAATTTATTGCTTTTAACAATGGTTTGCACAATTTAGCTTTTAGCTACAGTTGAGCTAATTTAAGTTTTGGCTATGATTTTTGCTCATGTTAGTCGTTATTTACTGTTTTGCTCATTTTAGCTGTTTTGGCTAATATTAACCTGAACTATAGTTTTGCCAAAGCGTTTTAAAAATATTTAATGTTTTAGCTCTGCGCAGCATTTTTGCAAATTTAAGCTTGCAGATAGGGACGTTGGTTTTGTTAATTAAAGTTTTCAGCTACAGTATTATTTTTTAGCTTTTGATACTGTTATGTTTATTTTGGCTATACAGGTTTTAGCTATGGTTTGTTCACTTTAGCTTTTGACGCTGTGGTAGCTTGGTGCTCAGTGCCATGGTCCTGCATTCCTGAGGCTGCAGGCTCAAGCCCAGCTGTCAGGAAGAACATCTGGCACAAAACAATTGCCAAATACTTCATGCAAGTTTACTCACTATAATGACGCCTGAAGAAGGGAGCCGCTGAATGATTAGGCTACCCACTTTTTAAAATGAGCTTTTAGACTTTTTTCTTAATATTAGCTTTAGCTGTTTTTTGTGCTAATTTTGTCTTCTGGCTATGATTTAGCGAATAAAGGTTTTTTGCTATCGTTTGGTTATTTAAAAGTACTATTTTCCAAATTTAAGTTTTAATCAAGGTTTTGCCAAATAAATCTTTTACTTATGGTTCTTTTAATATTATCTTTTTAAAGTATTGTTTTGCTCATTTTAACTTTTGACCATGGTTTTGCTACTTTAAGCTTTTAGGCTTTCTTTTTCTTTTTTTTTTTTGCTACTAGTTTTATTAACAAGTTCTAACTAACAGTTTACTGATAAAAGCTTTTACCTTTAGTTTTACTCATTTTAGCTTTTAGCATCCGTTTTGAGACTTTAGCTATTGTTTTGCTAATGCAGTAGCTTTTAGCAACAATTCAGCTAACGTGATATAGTTACTGTTTCGCTGATTTTAGCTTTTGTTTAGCTTATTTTAACTATTTGGCACTTAGCATTCACACCAGTTGTTTTGCTAATCCAGTTTCTTTGAACTCGTAGTTGATTTATTTTGAAAGTCCGTTTCCGGTCGTTTTGCGTTCAATCCGTGGAGTTTTATTTTGGTGCCTTGAGCATGGGAGAAGCGCGTCCCAAACTTTGCTCCCAGTGCCTGCAGTTGTGCCTTCAGTTGTTGGTTTAAAGCCCTGGACTCCGCAGGCACCGCCCGGCTGCTCGTGTTCATCCAGGAGGAGATAAGGAGAAAAAAGGGCGCGCTGGATGTGACTCATGTAAATGATGCGTCTGCCAGTGATTTACTGACAGGGAGTGTGCTCCTCCGGGCTGAGGTGAATGTATGGTGGACTCGAGAAGCCAGAAGATTTGTGATCTGTTCCGCCCGAGTGGACCTTGTTATTCAGAAGCGCAGTGATGGATGGTCGCATGCTGACATGGATGATGGTGGGTTGGTTCCTGCGCCTCTCGGCGACGCAGAACTCCGCATCTGGAGGTAAGCGTCAGAGATGTAAAGACAAAACTGATTACAAGGCTTTATTCTTTTATCATACGAAAACAAGTCTTGGATTAATGTCCAGGACTTTGTGGACACGGTAAGTAATTAAAAGTAAATAAAAATGTACAGATTATGATCAGTTAAAGTGGATTTATTGGAGCTTCAGTCTGAAGTGGATCATGGTGGGTTGATTTTACGCATGGCATGGCTCCAGGTAGAGAATTGCCAGGTGATGAAATCTCTGCCTCAGGCGGGGGTTCCCAGGGAGCCTTCAGGGGTTCAGGGACCACCCAGGCCTGCAGTGGATGGCCTCATAAAAAGGGGATCCCAGAGTATTATCAGCAGATGAAATCTCTTGGTGGTTTAGCACAAATCTTGTCTCCAGATCTACAAGCTAAAAAGGCAGTTTCAGTTTTTGAGTTTGCTTTACTAACGTCATTGAAACATTTCATGCTTCTGCTCTGTGGACTCAGTTTTAAAATCAGATCGCAGCAAAACAAGTGAAATCAGCAGCTAAAGTTGACACCAAAAACTGTTCAAGCATGTGTCCATTAGAGGCTAAAATTAGTTGTAATGACCCTGGTGGCTTTCTTAACGGGGCTGGAGCTTTTATAAGTGTGTTAATAGTGAACTGATCTGTTTGCTGTTTCCATTAATAGGGATCTGACGAGACAACTTGGTTTACAGGAATTAGACAAGACTTAGAAGCTTTAATCATCAGAGGGGAGGCGGTGGGTTTTCAAAAACATTCTCCCTTTTCCGGTAGAGTTTTATCTGGCCTGGTCTTTACAAGTTTTCTAAAATTAATCGTGTCTAATCTCAAGTACCAGATTTCATCATGTCATTTTTCATAGATAAAGCCACAAATGGAAAAGTTGGGTGAAAAACAAAGTGAATCCTGCGATTCAGGGATGATGGTCCTCTTGCTCCGCTGAAAAAGAGGAGACTGGCTCCTTGGTTCAATTCTGAGTTACGTATTTTGAAACAGGCATCTAGAAAGCTGGAAAGAAAATGGCCTCCCACTAACATTGAAGAGTTTTACTTATCTTGGAGAGATAGCCTGCTAACTTATAAAAAGCTCTCCGTTAAGCTAGATCTTGATATTATGCATCTTCAATTGGTGAGAATAAAAATAACCCCAGGTTCCTCTTCAGTACCATAGTCTAATGAAAAATCCTATCTCTGTTGAACCATGTATCCCTACAACTATAAGCAGTGATGACTTCATGAGATGCTTTCTAAATAAAATTATTTCAATTAGGGAGAAAATTCAAACCATCCTTCCTACTATTGCCTCTGGTTCCCTGTCAGATGAGGCAACTTTAAAAATGTCACTAGAACCCGATTTATGTTTGGATTGTTTTTGTCCTGTTGAGCTCTCTGAATTGACAAAAATAATAGCTTCAACATAGACGACTGGAGGACAAATTGACCTAATTTCTTAAAATGAACTTTTACAATTGAATAGTTTTAATTTGAAATTATTTCTATCTTCGCGTGATTTTCGACCTGCCATTGTGTATCCATTCCTCCCTCCTGTCCTCTCAAACTCAGCCGGTCTAAGCACATGGCCACTTGTCCTGAGCCTGGTTCTGCTGCAGGTTTCTTCCTGTTAAAAGGGAGCTTTTCCTTTCCACTGTTGCCTTCATGCTTGCTCAGGATGAGAGTGTTGTGGCACTTTTTTCCAAGTTTTAGCTGTCCAACAGATGGACACACAGTTGATTCCAGAATATTAGGGTGCACTGAGGACTTCAATGTTGACCTAATGACCGCTAGGTGCAAAACGAGCCCATATCATTTGCCTTCCACCAACGTGCTTAACCGTTTGCATGAGGTGTTCACTAATGTGCAGTACTTTGTCCCAAATATACATTGCTGCAGAAGGTTTGGTATATATTCAAACGCAGCTTTGCAAACCTAAATAGGGCTTCTTGAATGCATACAACTATAAATCTATTTTCTGCAGCTTATATGTTTATGTATTGTCTACATCTGGAGTTTATTGAGTCATATTTCTGTACTATCTGTTCTGCTTTTCTGCTATTTCCATGAGATAACAGTCCCTTAAATCAGTCTCAGTCGGAGCGGCTGCCTCTAGACGTCAGTGGTGTTTGTAGGTAAACCTACACAAAGGTAGAAGCATGTTCCAAAGTCCAAACAGCAAAAGAGATGTAAATAATTCTTCAGATGGATGGAGACAAAAGGGAGCAGGCATGGACACTGGCATGCATGTGCAAATGTTTGATTTATGTGTGTAGGCTGCGCTGCTTTCTCAGCTTTCATCACTCCAGAGGAATCCAAAGAAAACGAGGGTTTTGAGCCTCTGAGCATTTTTATATAGTCAGAGAATGGAAACCAAATGTGGTTTTCACTCTTGTCTTTCTCTCACAAGTTTATTTTTCTTAACTCCTGGTTTGGGATTTTAACAGCGGGGCGTGTTTCCTCTGGATGAGTGCACAATCTGAAGATCTGCAGCCCAATATTTCTTTTAGATTTGGTCTCTGCTGCTGCAGCTTCTTGAGTCTTCTTTCTGCGCTGTATTCAACCATCCAGCATTCCTCCTTCTCTCTCATATGGAACTTGCCCCCCACCCCCACATTATGCTCTGTTTTACACCTTTTGCACATAAACAATCACTGTTTTTCTTCCCTCTTTAAAAACTTAATTAAGTTGTGAAAAAAGTAAAGCCAGTTGCTTGATTGCCTTTGATCTGCTGCCATCTCTAAAGTTATTATATAGTGTGGTTTTGTTGTTTGTTTTGATTTTTGCCCATAGACACGGTAATTGCCTGGATTTGCTTCTGATTTTCTGCTGCTGTGGTTTAATGGTCTCCATCTATTGAAGAGTGATTTTCTCAAGAAAGTGGTTTTAGGAAAAAGAGGGTGGTGTGAGCAGAGACGTGTGGAAAAATCTGCAGGAGCGAACAGGAATTCTGGAGGAAATTGTGTGCAGTTCTCAGATGAGCACTAAAAGTTATTATTTCCTGACTGATGATTGGATCAAACTTTGTTTTTCTTTCTTTTCCACAGTACTGAACTGCTGTGAGGGGGACGTCCTGTTTCTTGTAGATTCTTCTGGGAGCGTGACGTCCTATGAGCATTCCCGCATGCTTTCTTTCCTGTCCGAGCTCCTCCTCCCCTTTTCACTGGGAGAGGACCAGGTGAAGGTGGGACTCCTGCAGGTGGGCACCAAACCACGCCTCGAGTTCGGCTTTAACAGACACATCACCCAAAATGGCCTGCAGAGGGCTTTGAAAACCATCAGGCCTCTCAGGGGGGATACAAACACTGTGGATGCGCTCAAAATGGCACAACGATGGGTACTGCAACCCGGAACGCAGGACGGGGCTCGGGCAGGGCTGCCGAGGGTGCTGGTGTGGATGACTGATGGGGTAAAACCTGGAGATGTGATCGGACCAATGGCTGAACTGCGGGAGGAGGGCGTGGCAGTGCTGGTGGTCTCCACTGGGCACAGCAACTACAAGGTGTTGAGGGAGGTGGTGACCCCCCCGGTGGAAAATCACCTGTACTTTGTGGACATCGATGACATGAGCATCATCACAAAAGACCTGCGGGATGCCATCATTGGTGAGTCCCATTTTGGGTTGGGTATAAAAGATGATCGGAGCCACGGCAATGCCAAATATTTAATACTGTAGTTAACACTTAGAGAGGACGGAGGATGGAGAAAAGAGCAAGGATCTTCATCCGAGATAAGCTAATGGCTAGGCATAACAAACTAATTATATTTTTAAATCATTTTAGAGGCTTGTGCAATAATTTTAATCATACCGTTGTGAAAGAACTACTAGCTCAAATGAACCCCCCCCCCCCCCATATGTTTGCATGACGTCATTTGTTGCTTGTCCTTTTAAATAAACAACGTTCATGTTGCGGAGCAAAAACCGATCGTTTGCAGATGGTGTCGAGGCTGCAAACGTATCAGTTCGTCTGATAAACTCCCGATCGACTGATCCATTCAGCTTCCTCCGCACCATCAGTCCACGTAAGCCTTGAAACAAGCAAGAAAATATTTGAATGAAAAACGGACCTGTCTTAAGAAACACGTTTTGCAATAAGTGTGCCCTCTGCTGGTAACCAGGAAAAGTGCACGACAATTAAACATTGGCCTTATTTTTCAGATACATCTAAATTTTCCATCTCATTTAGAAATCGAATACATTTTGCCTGGGCTATATCACTTTAAAAATATTTTTTTATTGTTTATTGATGAAAGATGAAAAAAATGACAAATTAAAATATTTCTTCAAAGCCTATTTCTTTAGCTTAAGACACCATAAAAACAGAAAAGTAACGACTGGACAGAAAAAAGTTAATAAAGTTTATTTAAAAAATCATAATATTTAATGCACACTGCTGTTCTGTAACATATTATGCAGAACAATTAATTCATATAAAAACTGTTTGTTTTTTTTCAGTTTAGTGTGCAGCAAATCAGTGGTTTCCAAATGCTTCACAAAATTGAGAATTGTTTGTGACTCCATTAATTAAAATACAGTAGTCCCTTACTACTTGGTGGTTTGACTTTCGCGGACTTGCTCTTGTGCGGTTTTTCAAAGTAAAATTGAACATGACACACGATTGGCATGGAATGTTTATTTAAAATAAATTATGTTAAATTATTTAGCACCTGGGCAGCAAGGTGGCGCAACTGGTAGAGCTGCTGCCTCTCAGCGAGCAGGTCCCTGGTTCAATCCCCGGTCTCTGGGTGGAGTTTGCATGTTCTCTCCGTGCATGCGTGGGTTTTCTCCGGGTACTCCGGTTTCCTCCCACAGACCAAAAACATGCATGTTAGGCTGATTGGTAACTCTAAACTGTCCCTAGGTGTGAGTGAGAGAGTAAATGTTTGTTTGTCTCGTTTGTCTCTATGTGGCCCTGTGATGGACTTGCGACCCGTCCAGGGTGTACCCCGCCCCTTGCACAGTGATTGCTGGACATGGGCACCGGCGACCCCGTGACCCAAAGTGGAATAAGCGGGTAAAGATAATGGATGGATATTTAGCACCTGCTGTATATTTGTGCAGACCAGAGCTGCAGAAAAAGCTTCCTCCTGCACTTTTGCTCAGCTCATACTGCAGGATAAACTTCCTGCTGCAGCTAATCAGCTGATCCCCATGCAGAGTGGAGAAGTGGGCGTGGCAAAGAACAGAGGAGGCAGGGAGCTGAAATCATGACATGCTGTGCTCTTTTAGAGCGTTTAAAGTTTAGAAACATCGTTTAGAATATTGTAAGAGTGTGAGAAGGGTTTAAAACACCTTCATATATATACATATATGTATTATAAAATAAAGTACTACTTACTACTTGTACTACTATTCCTATTTCACAATTTTTCACTTACTGTGGGTCTTCAGAGTACGGATCCTCTGCGATAAACATACGCTAAAATAAAGTACTACTTACTACTTGTACTACTATTCCTACTTCACAGTTTTTTACTTATAGCGGGGGCACCGAGAACCGAAACCCCTGCAATAATCGAGGGACTACTGTATACAGAAACTTCTTCAAACCCAAGTAAACATGACACATTGACTCCATAAAAAGGCCTAATAGCTGCAATATTATTTTTCATTAGTTAATGATTCCTGTTTTTATCTATTGCAACAATTTTGGTGAAAAAGCCACAAGCTATCATTTGTAAATGTAAGTTGGTATGAAGTAATAAAACCAAAAACAATCAATATGACTATAAGAACCACCCAGCTACAATCACTTTTAGTTTTTTCCAGATGTATAAAACTTCTCGCCGTGCTTCCCCTTAATTCCACTCCTGCGCCTCAAGAGGGGATTAAAATAGGATGTCGGGACACTGAGGGCCTGTCTGCATGTGAAATGTGATAGACGGAGCTAATAATGGATTAATGATTCAACATCTCTACATCCTCCAACACTGTTGCAGACATGATATATATTTATAAATACAGACTGGGGCGAGTGCCATTTCTCAGGCTAGATTAGGTAACTGCCATATACTCAGAAGAGGCACTTCATGCAGCATGTGCTGCATATGTAAGACTTGATGCATAGTATAAATAAAGCCTGTGGTTTAAACAGATATCTGTGGTGTTAGTTATTTTCTGCAGGGCCTCAATTGGTTTGATATTTTAAGTTGGCTCCTTTAAGTGCAGCTGCAGTCGGAATAGTTTTAGCTGTGTGCTTTGCCTCATTGTTCCTCATTAGCTGTTTTTCTCTCTCTGCAATGTTGCATCCCTTCTCTTCTTCATGTCTCTGACAGAGATCATTCGAGCTGAGCGCATCCACGTCCGAGACGTTTCCACCAACGCTGCCACTCTCCACTGGCGACCCGTTCTGTCCGGTTTGACGGGCTACTACGAAATCCGCTTTGGTCAGATTCCAACAGGAGGGGCCGGAGGCGGCGGTGGAAGTGGAACCAGTCCGAGCACCGGTGGAAGTCAGTACCAGCGGCTCGTTCAGCCTGCGGAGTCCAACAGCATCAGGCTGACTGATTTGAAGCCCGACACCACCTATAGTGTCCGATTAACTCCAGAGTCCAACGAGCATGCGTTTAATGCTCTCTCCGTCTCCTTCACAACAAAACCAGGTTAGACTGCTTCCTTTTTATTGATGGTGTTGTAAAACACATTATCAGTTTGATCAGATACCCACTTTGATACTAACACAGATTAAATATATACCATTCCGCGAAAGAATGCGCATCACCCACCTACTTTCATGCCAGTGTTTTAAACTAAGAGCATCTTCTGTTGAGAATTGGAGTTGTAGCCGTTTTGGTCAAACCTTTAAAATATTATGTACAGCTCATGTGACATGACACAATGTCGCGCTCAGAGTATGTGCTGTGCATGACCCTCAGCTACCACCATAACTAGCTTTAGCTCAATAGCTGTAAAATTGTGACTGCGATGGGCTTGCAACGTGTCCAGGGTGTACCCGGCCTCTCACACAGTGACTGCTGGAGATAGACTGAGGTTCACTAATGGCGACGTAAAATATGTGAGTGAAGAAAATGGGATGGCTCTGTAAAACTGGTTGAGTTATAACTATTTGTATGCTTCCTAATGGCAATTAGCTGTGGTAGCTACTTAGAATTGGTTTGACTCCAAAGGTTAATCAGTTGTAGATGTACATCCAATTAGGCTGTTGCAATAAACAATAAATCAATTAATTGCATGATAAACGAAAATTATCGACCTTTTTTTCTTTTATCGGCTTTATCGTTTCTTTGTGTCTCTCTCTTTCTGCTGAAGACACTGGATGACAAAAGGTTCAACTCCGGTGTTCTTCATTGACCCCTCCCTTTCTCTTTTCTATTTAAAATCCGTTTTAATTGTCCAAAATCGCATTTTTAGATCCTTAACAGCAGCTAAGCTGAGAAGCTAAGCTACGAGCTAAGCTAACAGGCCGACCTCGGGAAAAACAAACCTCCGTCTTGTCGAAGCTCCAAAATTCACAGTTGAAACCCGTGCCTTCGTCTAAAAAGTTGTTTTTCTCTGCAAAAAGAAGCCGAGAACTTGTTTACAGATTTTGTATTAAAAGCTTTGTGTGAAAAATGCTATGCTAAAGAGCTCAAACCACACAGAGCGTCCACCATTTTGAGAACTGAAAAACAGGAAAGAGAGACAGCCCATGTCACGTCAAGGGGCCTCCCTGAGTCACACTGCTCGCTCCCTCACTATCCATCCTTTGATTCAAATAATCTTGTACTGCCATCCAGTGGTTAAAAAAGGTACTACACACAAAAATTAACCAACATTTGTTCTTAAATTTGACAATAATTACTAATTATTGTCAAATTTCAAACAATATTATCGTTTATCGCAATAATTTCTGAAACAATTAATCACCCAGCAAAATTTGTTATCGTGACAGGCCTACAACCAACCATTACATTTTGCAGGTTTCATTAAACTTTATCCAGTTCGTGAGATATTTTGGTAACAAACTGAAAACTATAATGTTCATCTTCACTCTTCGACATTGGGCGTTAAGAATTTTTACAGCCTGGTTATTGTAAAAATGTGCAAATTTACTATTAACTTTTCAATTTGAAGAGTCTGCTGCTTTTATTTGCTGTGTATAATTGTGTGTTGGATTCTTTGTGATTCTGAACGTCTAAATAAACAGTAGCATGGTTTATTGCAACTGTACAGTCAGTCTTAACAAAAAAAACAGGTAATAGCTTCAACATTAATTTGATAGTTTGTAAAGTAGCTGAGTTAATACTTCTATTAGAGCATGGATTTATAGTTTTTGTGAAAATATAGAACCATAAAAAGAATTATGATGTTTTCTCTATGCTGCAGAGGTGGTGAGCCCATCGGTGGTAACAGTCTCGGAGTCGGGGCAAACCAGTGTTCGGGTGAGCTGGGGTCCTCTTCAGCCAGAGGCGGTAACAAGTTACTACATAGAGTACTCCGCCCTGCCCAGGGGAGAGCTCCGTACGGCCACAGTGGGCCGGACACAGAACTCAACCCTGCTGAAAGACCTCCAACCGGGCACCACGTACCTGGTCACAGTTACCGCCCGGTACGCATCAAGAAAGGAGAAGGCAATGTCCATCAAAATGTGCACTCAAGAAGGTGAGCTTGATGCAAGAAGAAACATATTTACGGCACACTTATAGTGTGAATGTTTATGAAGCATTTACACTATTGTGGTCCAGTTTTCTTCCGTACCTTTATCAGCATCTTTCTCGTTCCATAATTTTTGTGCTATTTTAACAAATCATATATCCAAACGTTCAGCTCCTTCAGGAGAAGGGCACTATGACTTTTAGTATTGGTGCAATTTTACCTTTTTGAAATATTTAGCCTTTTCTGCCTATTTTTTTCTCATAAGAAATGAATTGAACTCATTTTACATCCTTCAAATCTTCACATCTGTTCTTTCTGACCTTATACTGCTCCTTTCGCATTTTGTTCCAGTTCAGCTTCTTTCAGCTTCCTTGTGCAAATTTAAACATTTTTTCAGCTACTTTCATTTGTTTTTTTCCAGCTGTTTTGTGCTTCTTCTAAATTCTTTTTGCTAATTTTAGCTTGTTATGCTCCTGTAAGCTTATTTCTGCAAGCTTCAGCTTTTCTGCTATTTCACCTTCTATTTAGCTGTTTTTATGCTAATTTGAGCTTTTTCAACCAATTCCACTTTTTTTTTTTTTGCACTCGTTGCTACTTTTTTTTAGCCTATTCCAGCAAAAATGTGTTCTCTCCAATTCTTTGTGGAAATTTAAGCTTCTTTCTGGTATTTTATTTACTTTTCAGCTGTTTTGTTGTTGTTGATGTTGTTGCTAATTTCAGCTGTTTTCCAGATAATTACCACTTGTTTGTGTTTATTCTGCTTCTTTCAGCCTAACTGGGCAAACGTGTTCTTTCTGCTTTCTTAAGCTAATTTAAGCTTGTTCTACCATTTCAGCTACCTTTTTAGCTAATTTAATCTGTTTTCAGATAAACTCAAGTTTTTCATGGTAATTTCTGCTACTTTCAGCCTAATTAACTTCTTTCTGTTAATTTCAGCTTGTTATGCTCAGCTTTTTCCTACTAGTTTAAGCTTTTTCTGCTATTTCACCTACTATTCAGCTGTTTCATGCTAATTTGAGCTTTTTCAGCTAATTCCACATTTTTTAGCTAATTTCAGTTCTTTCCACTTCCTTCTGCTAGTGTAAGCTTCTTTCTGCCTTTTCAGCTACTTTTCTGCTATGTATCGCTAATTTCAGCCTTTTTTTTTAGTTAATTTGCAAATTTTTGTGCTCATTTCTGCTTATTTTAAACCTAGTTCAGCAAAAAAGAGTTCTTTCTGCTTTTAGAGTCAGAGAGAGTCAGAGATTCTTTATTGTTGTTCGCACCACATGTGGTACATGTGGTGGGATGAAATTATGTACAGGTCCTAGTTACATCCAACAATAAAACGTTAAATAAAAACAATGAAAACATCAAAGATATGAACTAAGAAAAACATCAACTAAATATACACTAAGCACTAATAGTATAAAAACATTATGTCGAACAGCAGCACAAACATGAGCACGAGTCTGTGTGAGCAGATGAGCACACATGAACACCTCAACATGAAACAGATCAGCAGCAATATGATGTGATTTTTCACCGTGATTATTCTGGTTAGAGATTCATGAGTCTAACAGCCTCAGGGTAGAAGCTGTTCCTCAGTCTAGTGGTTCTACACTTAATGCTCCTTAACCTCCTTCCTGAGGGGAGTGGGGCAAAAAGTGTGTGTGCTGGGTGAGTGAGGTCCTTCATGATGCAGGTGGCCCTCTTCCTGCATTGTGTCCCATCAATGTATGAATGTGATCTAAAGCTCTGATTAGTCTCATTAGAATGATTTGTTCAATTAGCTTTGTAGAGATCTAGTAGAGTGCTGTATGAATGGGTAAATGAGGCACAGATTGTGTTGTAAAGTGCTTTGAGTGTCTTGAAATAAGATAGAAAGGTGCTATATAAGTACAGTCCATTTACCATTTACATCTAGAGGAGTAGATATCTATGATGGTGAGAGACTGACTCCAACATCTTCTGTGCAGCCTTCACCACTCTCTGCAAAGCTTTTCTTTCTGCAGCTGTGCAGCTTCCATGCCACACGTTGATGCTGGAGCACAGGATGCTCTCCACTGCACACCTGTAGAAGGAGGTGAGGACTGAGCTTCCCAGACCAGCTCGTCTCAGCCGTCTGAGGAAGTAGAGTCTCTGATGAGCTTTCTTGATCAGGCTGGTAGTGTTGTTGCTCCAGTTGAGGTTGTCATTCATGTGTACACCCAAGTACTTGTAGTTGGAGACCACTTCCACAGCAGATCCTCTTATGTTCAGGGGGGTGTAGGTGTGTTTGTTCCTTCTGAAATCCACAATCATCTCCTTTGAGCTGTTTTTCAGCAAGTTCTTCAGCAATAAGCATTCTGTATTTTTGCAGGAAATGCAATTTCTCTAGTTCCAATATTACAACTATTTTTTTCTTCCTCTAAATATTATATTTGAGACAATTTTCTTGCAGTTCCATTTAGGTGCTGTTAGTTTTGTGTTTTTACTGAACCTAGAATCAGTTAAGAGTCAAAGTTACATCTGCTCTGTTGCTTTAGTCTTGCTCTCTTCCCTTTTGAAGTGTACTTCAACTAACCTCTGGGAGGTTTTCTTATCCAGTGACTCCAGCCCTGGCAGACCTCCACCTAACCACCGTGGGGAGCGACTCGGTGCAGGTCGACTGGAAGGGCGGTGTGGATGGTTTGAGGGGCTACTGGCTCACCTGGGAGGCGCAGCAAAGCTCAGTCCATGGCCAACGCTCCTCCTTCTATTTGCCACCTGACTCCCTGTCAACACGACTCACACACCTCCCCCCTTCTGCCAGAGTGTGTGTGTCACCCATTTACCAGAGCTCAAGGGGAGAGGGACTCTGCTGCACGGCACACTTTCATTCAGGTCAGTGAAGAAAGTAAAGACACTCGGTTAACAACAAAATTTAGGTGAAACTGCAGTTATTCTTTTGACTAAAGCGGAATATGTTTTTTTGGGGGGATTAAGGAGGTAAAACGATAGAAAGTGTTTGTCATAAAGTCATCCAAATATTATTAATTTTATTGCAAAATTTTCAATTTTATTTTCTCTCAAAGAACTTACAAGCATCTTTTGATAATCAGTGCATTAAATCACTTACGTAGATTTTTGGTAAAACTTGTAGCTACAGAGATGGTTCTTTAGAAATTCATGTCAATAAAACCTGTGTGCATATGAGAGAAATTATTTAAATACATTTATATTCATTTTAATGGTAAACATTTCAAGGGGTAGTCCTGTTGTTTTTGAAGTGTAGTTTTGTCAAATACATTTTCTCCATACTCTGACTGATGTCATGGATGAGACGATATAAGTACACCTGATCTAAAACAAGTTTTTTTCAAAATGCTACCTCCAAATATATGGAGGGTGGAATGTAACAAAATTAAATAAATAAATACTTCATAATGAAATGCATCATTTAATCATTCATTGCATCATTATATAATTAAAAACACAATTAAATTATTAAATACACAATTAATTAATTAAATGTCCAGACCAAAGCAATGGATTTCCCATGATCAGCGTTAGTCCCGCCCACTGAGTTTGATGAGCGAGACTGACAGTTAACTCAATTTCATAACACTGGAGGGTGGAATGTGACTAAATTAAATAAATAAATACAGATAAATAAATACAATCATGAAATAAAGAATTTAAAAGGTGCATTTATTTATTTCATGGGGCATTTAATTAATTTATTATCATTATTTATTTATTTAATTTTGTCACATTTCACCCTCCATACAAATGAGTCTCTTGCACATTTTTAATATGCTCTATGTTCTTTTTAAAGCATTTTCTATAGCCTTGTTGTTGAAAAACGTTATACTAATGAGTTTGCTTTGCTTTTTTCCCTCTCCTAAAGGTTTAAATGTCCGCATTTCAACTCTTGTTTTTGTTTCGTTCCCCTCTTAGATGCGTTAACATATGGCTACCAGTCATAGCATCCCCTCGGACTGCACGTGCACCTTACCAAACATGGAGGGAGGATGATGGGAAGAATGCTGACTTCCATCCATCTTTTTTTTGCATGCCTTTCCCCTCGGTGAACGTTATCCAGAAGAGATGTGGTTTGGCTCACTGAGCGCTCATGTGGAAGTCATAGACATTTAAGAATGTTGTGGGACGATGTGGCTACGTGCTGACAACTAAATTTTGCAACACAAAAGTATTATCTTCTCATCTGTGTTTGCTAAATCATCTGTTTTTCACCTGTTGTACAATGTATCACTTAAAGGTCAGATTGGAGAATTTGTTGTGTCTGGTTTGCAGACTCTGAAAGCTGGGACTGCTAATTATTTTTTCTGGCATGTTTTAAAGAGAGGATTTACAACAAATGTACACCATGTGTTCAAATCAGTATTTTTTAAATAACTCTTGCCAAGGCAGAGAGAACATCTGAAATACATCAACTATAAATACTTTTGTAAACTTGTACTTAAGTGACTTGTCTCTCAACGACACACTAAACACTTGTGTGCGCACACTGGAGGGGTTAAAATGGATCTTCAGGGTTACTTTGAACTTTTAAAACAGACCAATAACCCAAACCAGAGAGACACTGTGCACGATATAGATACTTGTCACTGAGAGTAGCTTTGTAATGTTCGAATGCATTCATAATTCATATTTATTTTCTAAGAATTATGAAAGAATATGAGTTAATAACTTGAAATGTTCATAAACATGTAGTCTGTTACTTCCTCACAGCCTGTGTTTGCTGCCCTCTACTGTAAGGATCATTACCAGCTCACTCCATCCAGAGCAAACATTTAAATGTTGTTTTTTTTTGCTTGCTGTTGTTTTGTTTACATCTGACACATGCTTTCAATAAAACCAGTTAACAAGTGTTTAAATCAATGTACATTTTATCATAAATCTATTTATTCAAGATGACACTTACTAATAAGTATTATGTATTATATTTTGTGTGTGCACATATATATATATATATATATATATATATATATATATATATATATATAAGGACACCATTTATTGTTATGCATTCAAACTTTTTCTCTGTGATTTGAACTATTTGCAACTCTCAAAGTAGAACTTTTGAAATGTTAATTTCCTGGCATATTTTATAATCTTGCAATTTTTGGCAACGCAGTTCTGAAAATTAGTATCATCTAACTTGATCCATAAGAAGCATGAAAATCGGAACATTTTGGTGTAATTTTTTTTTTGGAACAACTGGCTCTCTGTGTTAAATCACTTATTGTGAAATATAAAAAAAAGCAAGATAAATTACAAAGTAAAAAATGAAACTAAATTTTCTCTTTTTTATTTTCCTCTCATATTTTTTCAGGATTTTTGAGTCTCTAAATTAAAACAACAAAAAAAAACTTTTGCAAGATAAATTTGTGAATGCTGCCAACTACCACGTGCGTTTGTTTACCTCGGTTAATTCAGCTGGGTGTATTGCTTACACTGAGTGCATACCCACATTTCAGAACTGCATATCAATATATCTGGAAAATTACTGCAGTAAAATTTAAGTACACAATTTGTTATAGGATAACCTTTATTTTTTTCTACAGTTTGTAACAAGTACCTCGTCAAAGATATAAATCTTATTTTTTATTAATTTTAATTAATTCAATTTGAATACAGATCATGTGATCATCAAACAACTGATCAAACTATCAAACTAATTACTGAGGACATTACTTTTCTGTCTCATGACTTCCCTCTGCAAAGAAAACCTCAATTTGATTCAGCTCAGTTTATTTATGTAGCGCCAAGTCACAACAGAAGCTATCCCAGAGCACTCTATAAAAATGTTCACATACAAATTAAAAGCCAATTAATAAAAGTTATCTATCTAAGGAAGCCAGCAGATTGTGTTGAATCTTCACTTTGTTGCAGTCTTCCATCCTGAGCAAGCACAAAGGCAGCAGTGGAAAGAAAAAACTCCCTTTTAACAGAAAGAAACCTCCTTCAGAGCCAGGCTCAGAACGAACGGACATCTGCTTCGACCGGCTGGTTGAGAGGAACAGGAAGGAGAAACGAACACAGAATGGCAGGTCCAGGTGTACTTTCTATTGGAGGAAAGACAAAATGACTACTACTACTACTACTACTACTACTACTATTACTCGTCCTCCAATGCAAGAGTTGGGGGTTCAAATCCACCAGCAGTCACATGCCAAAGTGTCCATGGGCAACACACTGAACCTCTCATAGCCTCTGATGTGTGTCACATCAGTGTATGAATGTGATAAAGCTCTGATCAGTCTCTTTAGAATGATTTGTTCAATGAGCTTTGTAGAGATCTGGTAGAGTGCTGTATGAATGGGTAAATGAGGCACAGATTGTAGTGAAAAGCGCTTTGAGTATCTTGATTAGATAGAAAGGCGCTATATAAGTACAGTCCATTTACCATTTACTACTACTACTACTACTTTATTTATAAAGCACTTTAAAACAGCTGCAGCTGCAGCAAAGTGCTGTACATATAAAATCTAGAACATTTCAACACATAAAAGAATAAGACCAATAAAAACAGTATAGTGCAGAGCAAATTTCCGGTTGTGCCAAAAGCCAGGGAATAAAAAGGCATTTTAAAAAGAGTTTTAAAAATGGACAGTGAGGAGCTCGTCTGAAGGTCAGTAGGAGATTGTTCCATAATCTTGGAGCGGCTATGGATAAAACTTTGTCCCCTCTGAGCCTCTGTTTGGACCTCGACACCTCCAGGAGCAGAAGATCAGTTGACCTGAGGCACCGAGCAGGAGAGTACAGGTGAAGCAGCCCAGAAAGGTGAGATGGAACAAGAACATTTAAGCTTTTAAAAACAAATAAAATCATCTTTAAATGAATGGGCAGCCAGTGAACCAGGCAGGAGGTGGAAGACCTGGAGAGCTGGAGCACGAAGAACAAGATGAAGGAGATGATTGTGGATTTCAGAAGGAGCAAACACACCCACCCCCCGAACACAGAAAGATCTGCGATGGAAGTGGTCTCCAGCTACAAGTACTTGGGTGTGCACCTGAATGATGACCTCAGCTGGGGCAACAGCACCACCTGCCTGATCAAAAAACTCATCAGAGACTCTACTTCCTCAGACGGCTGAGGCGAACTGGTCTGGGAAGCTCAGTCCTCACGTGCAGTGGAGAGCATCCTGTGCTCCAGCATCAACGTGTGGCATGGAGGCTGCACAGCTGCAGAAAGAGAAGCCTTGCAGAGAGTGGTGAAGGCTGCACAGAAGACTGTTGGGGTCAGCCTCCCCACCATCACAGACATCTACACCTCCAGATGCAGGAAGAGGGCCACCTGCATCATGAAGGACCCCACTCACCCAGCACACACACTTTTTGCCCCGCTCCCCTCAGGCAGAAGGTTAAGGAGCATTAAATGTTGAACCACTAGACTGAGGAACAGCTTCTACCCTGAAACTGTTAGACTCATGAATCCCTAACCAAACAAATCACTGTAATGACACTTTATTTGGTGATATGTGACTTATTTGTGCTGCTGATTATCCATGCTGCTGATTTCTTGCCTTTAAGCTGTTACATTCACACCCATCTACAGACTCATGTTTTTTTTTACTAAGAGGCAGATATTGTAAGAATTTTCTTCTTCTTTCTGCACACTTTTCATTCAATGTTTTTTTTTTTCTTTTTAACGAATTTGTTTCATTTAGTTTGTTTCTTTTAAGTGAATGAATAAATGAATAAATAAAAAAATGAAATGAAAAGTGTTCAGGCTGCTGTTTCATATACCATATTATTTCACATTATTAGTGTTTAGTGTATATCTCAGATCCTTGTATACCGTTTCTTTTTATACTTTATATTTTTGCTATTTTTGGTTATAACTGGGACCTTGGGTACACAAATTCGTTCCACCTCATGTACCACATGTGATGCGAATGACAATAAAGAACTTTGAATGTTGACGTGAAACCAGAGTGGGGGTGATGTGCTCCCTCGTATGAACTCCAGTTAGAAGCCGAACAGCAGCATTCTGGACCAGCTGGAGACGTTTGAGGGAGGACTGGCTGACTCTGAGGTAAAGAGCGTAACAGTAATCCAGCTGAGATGTGACGAAGGCATGGATTACGGTTTCAATCTGCTTTACTTTAGCCAGCTGCCTGAGGTGGTAAAAACTGGCCATGGCTACTGCTCCAGTTTTGGAATCTATTTGCTGATGCTGTGAAAATCCTGGTCAGTTCTTCTGGGGCAGATGTTATCTTTATTTCTGAGTCCTGGCTCAACAAATCTGTAATGAATAATGACGTGGCAATCAATGGGTTTAACATCTACCGCTGTGATCGTCAAAAAAGGGGGGGTGGAGTCATTATTTACATTAGAGATTCTCTGGTTTCAAGTCTTGTGACTTTCAAAACAATTCCAAACCAGTTTGAAGCCTTATCTGTAAATATCACCTTGAATGGAGGCCAGGTTTTAACTGTAGTCTGCTGCTACCG